CTTTTTTAACAAATAAAAAACTGAAAAGTGGGGCGTGCAATAGTATTCGGCCCCCTTGCGCTAATACTTTGTAGCGCCACCTTTTTCTGCAATTACAGCTGCAAGTCGCTTGGGGTATGTCTCTATCAGTTTTGCACATCGAGAGACTGGAATTCTTGCCCATTCTTCCTTGCAAAACAGCTCGAGCTCAGTGAGGTTGGATGGAGAGCATTTGTGAACAGCAGTCTTCAGCTCTTTCCACAGATTCTCGATTGGATTCAGGTCTGGACTTTGACTTGGCCATTCTAACACCTGGATACGTCTATTTGTGAACCATTCCATTGTAGATTTGGCTTTATGTTTTGGATCATTGTCCTGTTGGAAGATAAATCTCCGTCCCAGTCTCAGGTCTTTTGCAGACTCCAACAGGTTTTCTTCCAGAATGGTCCTGTATTTGGCTCCATCCATCTTCCCATCAATTTTAGCCATCTTCCCTGTCCCTGCTGAAGAAAAGCAGGCCCAAACCATGATGCTGCCACCACCATGTTTGACAGTGGGGATGGTGTGTTCAGGGTGATGAGCTGTGTTGCTTTTACGCCAAACATATCGTTTTGCATTGTGGCCAAAAAGTTCGATTTTGGTTTCATCTGACCAGAGCACCTTCTTCCACATGTTTGGTGTGTCTCCCAGGTGGCTTGTGGCAAACTTTTAACGAGACTTTTTATGGATATCTTTGAGAAATGGCTTTCTTCTTGCCACTCTTCCATAAAGGCCAGATTTGTGCAGTGCACGACTGATTGTTGTCCTATGGACAACAATCCATCCAGAGTGATCATGGGCCTCTTGGCTGCATCTCTGATCAGTCTTCTCCTTGTTTGAGATGAAAGTTTGGAGGGACGGCCGGGTCTTGGTAGATTTGCAGTGGTCTGATACTCCTTCCATTTCAATATAATTGCTTGCACAGTGCTCCTTGAGATGTTTAAAGCTTGGGAAATCTTTTTGTATCCAAATCCGGCTTTAAACTTCTCCACAACAGTATCTCGGACCTGCCTGGTGTGTTCTTTTGTCTTCATGGTTCTCTCTGCGCTTTAAACAGAACCCTGAGACTATCAAAGAGCAGGTGCATTTATACGGAGACTTGATTACACACAGGTGCATTCTATTTATCATCGTCAGTCATTTAGGACAACATTGGATCATTCAAAGATCCTCACTGAACTTCTGGAGTGAGTTTGCTGCACTGAAAGTAAAGTGGCCGAATAATATTGCACGCCCCACTTTTCAGTTTTTTATTTGTTAAAAAAGTTTAAATTATCCAATAAATTTTGTTCCACTTCACAATTGTGTCCCACTTGTGGTTAATTCATGAAAGAAAAAAAAATTGATATCTTTATGTTCGAAGCCTGAAATGTGGCGAAATGTTGAAAGGTTCAAGGGGGCCGAATACTTTCGCAAGGCACTGTACTTTGTTCAAGTTCTTATTTGTCTGTGGCCCATATCGTGATGCGGCCAATGTATGTATTTTGGTTTTGTTAGAGCTCACCCAGGGATTTAGACACAGAGCTGATGACAAATTACACAGTCCTGCTTCAGTGTTTATGTGAACAGTAGAGAGCCGACATGAGAAAACACCGGAAAATACACAGGACTTGTTTTTAGGGTCTTTGTGATTAGGGTTTCATACTGCAGCAGAGTTTATGAACTTACAATGTTGTTTAAATAGATTGGATTTACCAGAGTGCTTTGATCATCAGTGCGTTAAAACACCAGTTAAAAACAGGCTTGGAGGGAGGACCAATTAACAGTATTTACTATAGTGTCACCATGTGTTGGTGCATTTACAATTTCAATACATATTTACTCATTTATTTCCACATACATAAGAATAAAACGGTTATATTTTATCAACTGGCTGAAAAAAAGAAATTGTGAAATTCAGATGTTCAAGTAAGGGGTTAAGTTGAGAGTTGTTGTCTGAGATTGGCCCGGCCACATTCACGTTGCTTGAGAAATTCCTACCTGCAGCTTCTCTGGATGCTCTATCTCAGCAGCTGGCCTTCATGTGTTGTTATGTGACTGGTGAGGCGTCCATTTCCCAGTAACGTCCACTGCAGATTAACCATCAACCGGGAGCCATGGCCCTGACCGCACCTTCCTCTCGCTGTCAAACACAAACTAATGTCAAGGTTCCTTAAACACTCCTGAGACAGCGCAGACACCACTCAGACAAAGACCCCATTAGAGCAGTGATAACAGCCACTGTGGATGAAACATTTTATACAAACCACTAAATATTTGGAGGAGCAGAGTAGAGGGTGAATTGTCTGTCAACACTCACATTCAAAAGAAAGAGCTAGGATTCCCTCATTCAGATTAAGTGATTTTGTCAGGATTGTTATTGAAAATCCTTTACATAAAAATCTTATCTTCAAGATATTCAGTGGATTTACGTTGTCTTCGAGGTCAGCAGCCGGGCAAGAAAAGCTTCATAATACAGCTTAATCCTCTTGTTATCATTTGAAATATGTGTAGTGTTCCGCATGTGCCTAAATTGTTAAATAAAAATGAAAGAAATCAGTGGCATAAACATAATGAAGGAGTATGTATCAATTATCACACAAATCAGATTAGTAAATGTGAGATCTGTCTTGTACTGTTGATTTATAAATACAGAAAAAAGTCCGATATTCAGGTTGCAACATGCTGTCTTTATACTGAGAGCGGATTGGCTGAGTGCATTGATTGAAATGCTGATTAAAGATGTGACAGAGGCCAAAGATAAATGTGTGCACGTGGAACTAGTTAAATGGATTTTAAAAGTAAAACAAAGTAATTTCACTCAAAAGTTCCAAAATGAACTTTGAGAAAGAAGAGGTTTTGTTTTTTTCTTCTAAAAGGAACACAATAATGAGTTCATTTTGAGGCCCAGCTTGTAGTTGGAGCTGTCCATGTGTAGCAGCAGGAGTTTGAGAGACAAGATGAAATGGTGCTAATGTTCATCCATATAAACATTCAAAAGCTCTGAAATATCAATAAAATCTCAAAAAACACATACAAACTGAAAAGAGGCTGCGCACTTATTTCTGAATAGACTAAAATGTGCATTTATCTTATTTGTAAAACTGTGTGTGTAACTACTAAAAAAAACACTGAAGACTGCCACTTGACTTGTTAGCTTATAAAGACTCAATACAGTATTTCATTTTCAAAGGCCTAATTCTTGGCCATTTTTATGTTTAGTTCATGACAACTCTTCAATTGTTCCACTGTGATGTATTGTGCAGCCCCTATGTGTGTAATGTTTTTTAATTCATTTTATTTTATTAGAAGAGGACAACACGCAAAGCACAGTTATCAGAATTTGTACACCGACGTGTTTCATTATATGTTATTATTGGGTGTCTATGAAAAAAAAAGAAGTTTAAAGAAAACGCAAACAAAAATATTACCACGGCTTTAATTTAATAATTTATTGCCATTATTACTGCCTCTGTGTCATAAGCACAATAACAAAGAACTCTATGCTCTTGTCACCATTATGGTCGCTTCTCAAATCAATCTTCAACCTGTGTGCACTTCCGGTTTTCTTTCTGCTCTCTTGATTATAGTTGCTGTCAAAATATATGTATCCTAAATATGGAAGCTGAAATACAAGACATATGGATGAATTACATTTAACTCCACTCTAATCCCAGAATACATTAGGAAAAGTTACACAATTTAAAGGCAATAGATCTAGAGTTTAATTAGGATTGATTGTGGGACATGTAATCTTGCTCTCAGGACGCTGCTGCCTTTCTTGGGTGAATGTTTTCGGGTATACGCAGTATATAAGCTACAAAAGCCAATGATAAAATAAATCAAGAGGGAAATATCTTAATAATAATAATCTCTCAATGTTTTTTCTATACGAGTAGAAAAAACATTCTAGAATAGGAACTACATTCTAGAACTCCTAAACATTCTACAATACAACATGTGTTACTAGGTTACAATGGTTGCCATGGAAATGACCCTAACCCTGACGTCATCACAGAATTTCAAATATCTTGTGTGTTAAAGACCTTGAGTCACTTGAAGAAATTCAGAGAGAGGACATTTTGCAAAAAGCCCAGTATTATTCTAGAGATATACTTACTTATCGAAGTAACATGGAAAATCCAAAGCCTGTAGAGATCTACAAGACTGACCTGGAGATTCTGCATGAACTGGCAGAACTCCATGGGCACTTTGTACTTTTTAATGAAATGGGAGAAGATGGTCCAGCACATAAGCCCACTTTCCACATTGAAGTGCGAGTGGGAGACTTGGTGGGCTTCGGCTCCGGCCCCACCAAGAAAAAGGCTCGATCACATGCAGCAAAAGACATTGTGAAGGCATTGAGCCAGGTCCCACCGCCCCAGGGAAAAACTCCATATTGGTGTAAACCTCATGTTGATCCAATAGACCCTGTGGAGCGCAAATACTTTTTTCATAACAAAAACCCCATTACCGCACTCACAGAAGTACTGATGATAAAGAAACTACCTGCGGCGGAGTTTAAGGTCGTCAGTGTGCAATTTGACCACGGCACGGACTATAGGCCCATGTATTGTATGGAAGTCAGAGCCGGTCACTTGTCCTGTCAGGTTTCGGCCATCTCCAAGAAAGAAGCAAAGGCCATGGCAGCAAAGACAATGCTGGAGATGATGGGTTTTAAAGAGCAATTACAAATGCAAAACCCACAGATGCAGCCGTATCAGAGTCAGCTGTTCCAGAAACACGTGTATGAAGAGCAGGCAGCACAGCAGCGGAAGCATCAAGAGGCTGTAAAGGCTCTACGCCGTCCGCCAACTAAAGAAGAGAAGCAAGAGGAACCCAGACCAGAGGAGAGCCAAGGGGAATCCAGACCAGAGCAGAGCCAAGGGGAACCCAGACCAGAGGAGAGCCAAAGGGAATCAAGACCAGAGGAGAGCAAAGATGAACTCTTTCTATTAGAGAGTCAAGATAAACTGAGACCAGAAGAAAGCTCAGAGAAACTCATGCTCTTAGAGATCCAAGGGGAATCCAGACCAGAGGAGAGCCAAGGGCAACCCAAACCAGAAGAGGTCCAACCCAGACCAGAAGAGAGCCAGGAGCAACTAAGACAAGAAGAGAGCCAAGATGAACTGAAACCAGAAAAAATCCCAGAGAAACTCATGCTCTTAGAGACCCAAGGGGAACTCAGACCAGAAGAGATCCAGGAGGAATTAAGACAAGAAGAGAGCCAAGATGAACTGGGAGCAGAAGAAAGCCCTGAGAAACTAATGCTCTTGGAGAGCCATGGGGAACCCGGACCAAAGGAGAGCCAAGGGGAACCCAGACCAGAGGAGATCCAAGGGGAACCCAGACCAGATGAGATCCAAGGGGAACCCAGACCAGAGGAGATCCAAGGGGAACCCAGACCAGAGGAGAGCCAAGGGGAACCCAGACCAGAGAAGACCAAAGGGGAACCCAGACCAGAGGAGATCCAAGGGGAACCCAGACCAGAGGAGAGCCAAGGGGAACCCAGACCAGAGAAGACCAAAGGGGAACCCAGACCAGAGGAGATCCAAGGGGAACCCAGACCAGAGGAGAACCAAGGGGAATCCAGACCAGAGGAGATCCAAGGGGAACCCAGACCAGAGGAGAGCCAAGGGCAACCCAAACCAGAAGAGGTCCAACCCAGACCAGAAGAGAGCCAAGATGAACTGAGACCAGAAGAAATCCCAGAGAAACTCATGCTCTTAGAGATCCAAGGGGAACCCAGACCAGACGAGAGCCAGGAGGAACTAAGACAAGCAGAGAGCCAAGAGGAACTCTTTCTATTAGAGAGCCAAGATGAACTGGGAGCAGAAGAAAGCCCTGAGAAACTCATGCTCTTAGAGAGCCAAGAGGAACCCAGACCAAAGCAAACCTTAGTTGAGGAGACTGTGGATAGTTCTCCAGAGGAAACGGAAGACCCACAGTCAGTTGGGAAGGGCACCAAAGCTGCACACCTTATGGCTGCAGCAATGATCAAAAAGTTAATTGGAAAAGCCCATGAGGTCCCTAACACTGAGCAGCAGATCTGTCTCGTCCAAATGCTCAGAAAACTGGAGAATGGGGTTCAGATCTCAGAGGACAGTAACCTCACAGACAAAGACCTCAAAGCCATCGGCAAAGCTGCTGCCAAAAGCTTGCTGCAGGAGTGTGGCTCGGTCTCTGCTCTAAGTGACAACAATTTCACTGAGGAGACATTGAAACTGAACCTGAACCTCCAACTCACATATTTCTTGGCCCATCGTCCTCAGACTAAAACGACATCCTTCTTTTCAAGAGTGTGGAAGGTCTTCAGAAGAAACAAAATCAGCTCAGGACCTCTGAGCACATATTTGTCATCTCCCTTCTACTAATGCAAACCAGTAGATGATTTAAGATGATGAACTAAACAGCATTTAAAAATATGCATTTAAAAAGGTCTTCACAAGGACAAGATATGCAGTGCAGTGGTCCTACACTGAACTAAATATTTGTTTGTCCACAATGTTCATCTTTACAGCAAAGAATATAAGATTTTTTGATGTGAAGAAGTAACAGTGGTCCTATACTGAGCTGAATATTTGTCCATACAAAATGTTTGAATTTGTTTTCCTTTATGTACCTTCACAGCAAAGAATATTTGATTTTTTGATGTGAATAAAAAAATGAAAATAAAAAAATGAATGCATGGAGTTTTATGTTTATGTGCCCACACTTTATCAAACCAAGTCTACTTTTACAGCAACCATTGAGCTGGGATCTACCTCAGATGAATATAATATTAGGTTCAATTCATGATGCATTGGTGATTCATCATCAAGTAATGACCACGTTGTCATTATTCACACATGTATAATGACAACGGCACGGTGGCTGAGTGGATAGCACTCTTGCCTCTCAGCAAGAAGGCCCTGGGTTCGAATCCCGGCCGGACCAGGGCCTTTCTGAGTGGAGTTTGAATTTTCTCCCCGTGTCTGCGTAGGTTTCCTCCGGGTACTCTGGTTTCCCCTACCACTAAAAATATGTACAATAGGTCTGGCATGCGCCTCCTGTTCGGCGACCCCACTCCCATCTCTGTGTGGAGTGAGAGGACAAGTGCCCATAAATAACAATTGTAAACCGCTTTGTGACTCTGGTCTGTGAAAGGCGGTATATAAATAAAGATTACTTACTACTTACTACTTACTATAAGCTAGTGTTCTGCGGAAATAAAAACCAAGATTTTTACTATTTTTGTGAATTTATAGATGTGTCTGGTTATTGTCCTGTCAGGGCACCACAGCCGTACCATTGTCAACAATGGTACAACAGCCGTGGCTATAAAACATTGCTTGCCATTCATGAAGTTTGAGGAGTGAATGAATTATGAACAAATGTTGAGTTAGGAACTGCATAGGAACTAGTTACCGGTACATAGATTTTAATACATAGTTAATTTTTTGTATTTTCAATGTTAGATCCTCCAGCTTTGAACACTTTGTAAGCACCTGTACATAGAATGCTTCTTGTCATACTGTAAGCATTGACACATTGGACAGCTCATCTCTCAGATTGAGACAGGTGTGATAGTTGTGTGTGTGCTCCGGATGAACATATGAATAGGTGGAAACAGATGCAGCCTGTTGCCACCGCCGTTGCTTCCTGACGGTCACTTCCTGTGCCCTTTTTTGATGCATTTTAGTTGCTTTATAAACCCCTTTACTCTCACTCCGCTGTGATGGACTTCAGCTTAATAAGTCTTTGTACACTCAACTTTCTTTTGTGTCAAAACACCATTAGTCCAAGCCCAGCACTTTACATTTGATACCTTGTTCTTTTGCCAGGGCCTTAAATGCTGCAAGGTTGGCACATATCAGTGGCTCTGAATGGGGCTCCTCTTGCCAGGACAGAACAGGAGATGCCTCTGGTACAAGTGCACAGCTATCAGGTGCCAAGCCTCTCCTCCACTTTCCCTGCACAGAAAGAATGTGATTGTAGATTAGCCGTGGCCGCTTGGAAACAGCAGGCAATCATTACCCTCTGCTTCTCCTCCAGCTCCCGCTCCGAATATATATCCCTATAGAAATTCTTTTGTTCGTAAAGTTGAGGCTTTTATAGTGACTGTTGTGTTCCTTCTCATACCTGAGGCCTAATCGAGCCGAAAATATTCATACCATGTGCGGGCAAAGGTAATGATTCTTTAGTGTAGAAAGTGTAAGTAGAAAATTCTAAATCGCCCCCGCTGAGCAAAGTCTGACAAGCTGCCATTTATCTTTTTACTTTTTTTTTAAGTACTAAACAACTACAGTGACCAGAGGTTGACATTACCAAAATACTAGGGACCAGGACCAGTTTTTGCAGATTAGAGTAGATTGCATTACAACACAGACTTCTTGCACATGTTTTATGCCCTTTTAGTAGACTATTTAATACAAAAAAAATTGCAGTATAGTAAACAAAGGATTATCATTTTGTGCATATATAGAATTATTGCATTCAATAAAAATAGTTGTGGAGATTGCAGATTTGTCCTAATATTTGAATACAGGTGAAAACCATAATTGCAAGGAGGCACATGCCAGACCTAGGTACATGCTTTAGTGGTATAGGGGAAACCGGAGCACCAGGAGGACACCTATGCAGACACAGGGAGAACTCCACACAGAAAGGCCTGGAACACTGTGCCCTTCTTTATACTTCTGTGTTTCAGCATACAATGTAAAACTACTGAATTCTCATTAGACTCAACGCAAGATATAACAAGCCTTTATTTTTTTATATTGATCATTGACTCACAGCTTGTAAAAACAAAATATATGGACTGTAAACCGTACTCAATGAGAATTTAAAAAAAAGGTTTGTCATATGTCACTTTGCATGTAATTTTGGTTACACATTCTACAGAAATAAATGATCTTTCGACCGATATTCTAATGTTCCAAATTTCACCTTTAAATGTGCCTTCTCCTAAATAGGCCATTGTAGATTACCAGTCCATTCGACTGCACGGTGAAGTCCCGTTTAGACTGCTCTGCGGGTAATTGAGCACAGGTATGTGACCCCGGCCCACCAGAAACTCCCAGTCCTGGCTTTGATCATGAACCAGCTCGCGACATCACAAAGTCAAAGGGCAAATCCACTCTGTTTTAATAGGTCACTACTCCGGCTCTTCAATCACTCCAGTACAAACATTGAGAGAAAACAACACGGTTAGCCAATACAGTAAAAATAACAATAATTTATGATAGTTTCATGACTTCTGGATCCCTTAAGATGCAGTTAACCTTCTTTGTGATGCTGCCAAGAATCGGTGCCGGTCTGTTCCACCCAATCTGGCACTTTAAAAATCCAGTTTTCTGAAAACTGTTCATGACATATTATTACAGCTATAAATCAAAAACTAACGACAAAAAAAGAAAATAATACTGAGATTAATATTGAGTAAAGGACATAGTGAAAGTACTCAAGCTAAATGTACAACAATTATTTACATACAGATCTATTTAAAGGTAATCTTCTACAAGGATGCCATCATGGTATAAGACTAAAATTCTCAGAGATATCAAACATGTATAAAAGAAAACATTCTCAAACTGAATTTGTAAAAAACTTTATTGCAGCAACCATTAAAAAAGTACATACAAATATTAAAACCTATAAAACACGTATCAGTGCATAGTCAAATGTACAAACATCCGGAGCTCATGATGTGGTTTACTGCTGTTTAAAAGTGTCACTTCAGCTGTTTCTGCGTCCATCAGATAAGCGCAGACTCGCGGACGTTGGTGAAGGGGACACAGGTCTGGTGTCTGGAGGAGAGCTCACTGTAAGGAAGCAGAGAGTGAAGCCATTACACAAACTGACGCTGCATCTATGCAAGTAAGGAATGTTTATTTATGTAGCGCATTTTACAGACCGAGGTCACCCAAAGCGCTTTACAATGTTCACAGTTCAGATATTTTTCTATTCTCTCCACACTGTGATGACGGAAGCGAGACGCAGAACACACTGGTGCATCAAAGCCTCCGACCAACACCATCCATTCAGACCTATTGTACGTGTTTTTAGTGGTAGGCGGAACAGGAGCACCCGGAGGTAACCTACACAGACACAGGGAGCACATGCAAACTCCACACAGTAAGGCCTGGAAGTGGAATTGAACCCAGGACCTTCTCCAAATCACTGCTCAAAACCCACCTATTCCAAAACACCCTACACATTACTATTTAGTATTAAGCCCTTTATATTTTTGTTTGTTATTAACCTGTCCCTTAGCAAGACGGCTTTGAGCGTCCAAAGTAGCGCAATACAAGTACAATGTATTTTTTTAGGCAAGGTGAGTGTATTTGTATTGCACATACACAAGACAACTTGAAGTGCTGAGCAAAGCAAAATAGAAACAATCATACAAGGCATGAAAAACATAAATAATCACCATTTATTTTTTTAAAAACCTTGATTAGAAAAAAGCCTGTCCTACATTTTCAGGAGGACTCTTCAAGGTTTTAGATGCATACATTTGAAACGCTACCTCCCCATGTTTAGTCCTGATAGTTGATATCATTATTATTTAACATCTAGGGGGAAAACATGACAAGCATATATGTTGGACATGGATATTTACAGCAATTCAGAAGTCGCAGGACCATACAGTCGCTTGTACAAGTACTAATACAACTTTAACTTTGCTTTTATTTTATTTGCTATTGTACTTGCTTCATGTAAAATAATCAGATTTTTCCACTTGCTAAGAGTATCTAATCAATTCTTTGGACTTTTTTTTTTAAATACACTGAAATCAAGTAAACTACACCTTTTTGCAGTGATAGCTCTGGGGCCAACACAGAACAACTGTAATCATAATGAGAGTTGGTTACACACAGATGGACTCTTTTTTTAATTTAGTTTGAGCGAGATGTGAGACTTCAGCATCAGTCATCAGAAAGAGTCAAGCTTTTCTATTTTTACTTTCACTTTAAAAGAGCAAAATCATATTTTAACTTCACATTTGTTCGTTACTATTTCGTAGTCCTTCAAAATTTGTGACCAAAAACAACCATGACAAAGCGTGCTAAAGTTCTAGTTCGTACTTTTGCAAGCCACTGTCTGTGAGGTATTGTGCGATTGTGGGGATTTCAAAAGTGGCAGAAGGCTCAGTGTCAGTATTTATATGTGTCGCGATTAGCCTGAGCAGGTTATCCACGGTGGCTTTAGCTCCATGTGGCCGGAGACAGACCCACTCTGCTTGCAAGCGGCTATTCACTGCCCAGCGCGCTCTGTCTGGCCTCGAACAAGAGCATTGAATAAGGAACCATACCGCCAACGCAAGTCACTCATCTAACTATTAAACGGTTTTGTCACTAAGCTGCTGGATTTCATGGGGTGGTCTCCGTACCATTCGACATACAGACGTCAGTTGGACCTGTACAGTCACTAGGGGAGAATGCACTAAACGTGTAACGACACCGAGACAAAGAGGAGCAGCTGGACAGCCGTATCAAGAAGATCATCAATAATAAGAAAAGAGAGAAGAAAAGTGACACGCCAAAGTATAATAAAGCCGGTGTTAACGTTGGAACATGCTTCAATCTATAATATGCAGTACTAGTTCAGCAGGAGGACAGATCACTGCTCTGATGTACCATACAATACATGTTCAAACGGCCTACAATGAAGAACGGACACAAAGCATTGGCTCAGTAATAAATGGCCTTTCAGAGAGTGTTTTTTTTTTGCACACAGTTGTCAAAGCTATGGTATCTTGCAGAAACATAAAGACACGGTGTCATGTTGGTCCGGCAGTGCTATGGACGTGGTTGGAGGTATTTAGACTAAGACTACGGTGTAACTTAAGTCAGGTGAGCGGGCGGCAACCCAATAACTCCTAGAAACCGGATTCAGGTAGGGTTACATCCACAAGAGAATGAGCCCGTGTTTAAAACGAGAATGTACGTTTAAAACACAGGTTACAAAAGTGAAAAATAGGCTATGAGGATCCATTTGTCTCGAGTAAAAATGTCTGAGCTCAAGCAGACATGATTGAATTTCACTTATACACAGTGAGGAAACCAGAGAAAACTTTACAAATGTCTTGAAGACTTACTCTGACCAGGCTCAATTTACAGCAAAGAAGACACCAGACAAGACTTCATAGAGAAGAGCACCTGATCCAGATAGTCTTCTGTATTACTTGATCATAGGTACAAATTGTTACTCTTTGTGAAACAGTACACACATATTTTTGATTTTGTGTTGATGTAATAAGACTCAACTGATTAATCAAATCAATTCAATAAAAGTCTTGCAATCTTGAATTTGAATTAGATTAAGGAAATGTACATATTATTTCACACAATATAAAAACAATAAATATGCATAAGTTCAAAACATTTATTATGCCTTCAAAATGTTTTGAGTGTATGGTAAAAAAGTAAAAATAATCAATATCAATAAAAAGAGCGACCTTGAGCACTGTACAAGTGAGGATTTTAATAGAGCAACATGTCCCTATTTACTAAAATACTAGGTTAAAAGGTTCTATGACATCTGATGGAGAAAACATGTTCAAACCTTTACCAGACATAAATGTTCCCAACTGTGGCTTTATCTAACATTATGTAATATATTACATTACATATTTAGAATGTTTTTTGTTTGTTTTTTAACGATTTCCCTGCTACTGCATATTGTGTGCTCAGAGTGCACTTGTATAAAAAAGTAAAATTAATACAATTATTACTATTTACATTAAAACATGTTATACTTTAGAAATGTTTTATTATGCCTTATCTTTCTCTCCCTTGACCTGTTTGCACCGAGAATGCATGGCAATAAGAATTATTCTGATTCCACATCAGTCCGGGGGAATGCCATTTGAAGGAAAAAGGTTTCAAAGTAGTCCTTGAAATTCATGCCAGAACAATTACAGTCTACAGTAGATCACACCTGGATAAATGAGGGATAACTTTGCTTTGTTTCTTAACGTTAAAGTTGGGGTACTTCATTTCCAAACCACAAATATGGAATATAATACAATCCATCCAACTCGTTCCTCTAAAATGGTTTGGCTCCATTCCTAGTTTACACATGCGTCCACTTTTGGCTCCACTCACATCTTTAGATCAGAGAGCGAGGACCACTTTCCTTCAGCCAATCAGCTCTCAGCCCAAAGTGTCTAATAGTCACAAGGATCTTATCTTTGCAAGTATGAAAAAGGGAAAAAAAAGTGTAATAATAAGATGAAACCAACATTCTGGGTCTGATTTGTTCACAACATTTTACTTTACTTTCAGGACAAGCAAAATGTATTATCTAAAAGCTATAAGTTAACTTTGAAATCCACTGCAGCTGCGTCTCACTTGAAGCTCAAGTGAAGTGAGTTAATATATCAGTGTGACAGACTGCAGAGGCAATGGCCTTTCCTGCAGAAACACCCCCATACAGCCATCCAGGTGCACACAATCAGATATGGGCCAAAGGAAGCACCAGGGACTCACTCAACAAGTCAACTTGAACATATAAGGGCTCAGGAATCTCAATAAGGCTGGCAGTAGTTTATACATTACTGACTACTCACTACTTGGAGAAAAGGGGAAACACACACACACAAAACAACTCATCTGATGTCTGGATTAACAGCCAAGATAAGGGACAGAAAATCTCCAATGGCCGTTTTTTAAATCTTAAAAGGTAATGCAGGCATGCCCCATCCAAGGATCTCTTTGTAATTGTGTATGGCCCTCTGCCTCGCTAACCCAAAGTAACCATAAGCACAAGTTCACTTAGTCATCAAGCCAACTTCAGCTCTGCCAACATTAACTCTTTACTGTTTTTGATTGCATGGCACTAATGTAGCTGATGAGGTATACCATGTCTATGTTTTTTCACTTTGACAGAGCTAAAGTTGGCTGAATGACATATGTTTACTCATTTTAAAAGCTCACAATTGTCCAAGTCCAGTTAATCCACCTGTCAAAAAACGAGAGAGGCTTTTGACACCCCCTGCATATATTTTTCCACATATCCCTGTAATTTATAATAGTGTGACATTTTAATACAACATAAAACTAGTTCAGTTTTCACATGCATGTATTTTTGAGCTACGTCACAAATTTAGAGAAGCACTTTCAGATAGAAAATTTTCTTATAAAATGAAGATAACATCTTACTTCTGTTGAGACAAACTAAAGGCGCAAAAAATATTTAAAAAGCTTCAAATGATGTTACCCTAACCCTCTGAATGCACTCAATGTATTCAGTACAAGCTATCTTAAGTGCCATCTTGTACCCGTTATCTGAATGGAATCATCTGACCCCACTTTGTTACGAGACTGCTTCCCTTCATTCCAGCGCGCAACAGTAGAAATCCCTGTAAGAAACATTTATCTCAAAATCAAAACACTTCTACTTGTCGGGGGAAAAAAAAAAAAAACATGGCACCTCGCTTTGTTGAAGGAAGGGAAAAAACCTCAGTGGAATTTATTTCCCTCTCCTGTTGCATTGAGTTGTCAGAAGCAGTGAGGTGTGGCCCATTCACCTTTACATTCAGACCTGTGGCTTTTGTTTGCTCTGTAGATAAACACTGAGGCGTAGGCTAAAGTGTCGTTCCGTTTCGCTACTTCAAGGACAAACCCACCCCTCAGCCAAGGGTGCTGCAGCCGCATGTAATGTCCTACTATAATTATGATGAAAGTATGCAGAGAGGGAAAACTATAATTAGGGCCAAGACTCAACCATAACAAACAATGTTATTAAATCAAATGATGTACTACAAGTTAAGTTGAGTGTGCTCGCTGTACTCAGCAATTAGTAAAGCCACATTTTAACAGCGCTCCCCCATCATTATCTAATTCAGTTCCATTTAAGTTAATAAATGCATCTCTGAGTAATGCTGTAATGTGCATTTTAAGGCATAAAAAGGTGCTATGGTTTCACTTGCATCCTACGTCCTCCCTTTCCTCTGTGCTAATATTTAAAGTATTCAAACTCTGGCCAGATTGTAAACTAAAAGGTAAAGATTCTTCGGAGCAATTTTGCAGTACAACACGTTGCGTTCGTGCCCTATAATTCTATTTCAGTTGGAGGGCAGGTGCCAATAATAACGCAACAGGAAAGAGGCAGTTTTTGAAAGAAATTTTGAAAAATGTAATGTCTAAATGTTTTCCAAGAGGATTATTTGATGGTAATTAGATTCCTTTTTACAGGCCAACATTGTGCATATATATATTTTCAAATATTGTCACCACTTCTAGACACCTTTATAAGAAAACAATGAGACCATAGTTGACATGTGCTGACAAAGAAGAGTGGAACTTTGTGAGTTTTTGTTTCATGTTGGGCTAGGAATTGAGACCAGAAGACTGACCATTTTAGACCATTACCATAGTTACCAGGAAATATTTTTCAGCTGCCCTTTGCCACAATGTTAAACATGCATGTATTATATAGAATTGTCCTTTTTTGTATGGATCAATTTGATCTTGATTGTGAAAAATAGATTAATAATAAAAATCGACTCCATATTAGTATTTAAGACTTTTGACGTGAACACAAAAAGGCACAACACGTCAAAATATAGATACAACATGAGTGTTATGATTTGTTTCCCATGTTTAATAAATCCCCTGCAAAGTGGCATCTTGACGTGGCGTTCTATGGTGTGTGACCCCAGAACAGTTACCATTCACACGGGAACAGTTAAGACATTTCATAAAATCTGCAGGGACAACAGCTGAGCAGCGCTGGGAAATGTGCAGCCACGTCATAAATAATTCAACTGACAGGTGTAATGTTCGAGTTGTGTGCAGCGTTTCCTCAGTCTGTCTGGTCAGATTCGGTGTCAAAGCATCGACCACATGGACTGTATAATTGACTATGTACAACAATCAGGAAAACGTGTTTCCATTTATAAATCACCATGGTTTGGAAATGCGGCATCACATCAGTGTATAATAATAATAATAATAATAAATAATGCAGTGGTGTTCTATAGCACTTTTTTTGGACGCTCAAAGACACTTCACATGTCACTATTCTCCGTACATACATAGCCCCTCCAACCACCACCAACCGTTCACACACACACCAGACTCAATTGAAGGCAATGTGGGTGAAGTGTGGCACTTTAAAAGCCGTCCCACTGTGGTACCTGGTGTTTCCAGAGGTCTCTCATCACAGTACTAACCACACTCTGCCCTGCTTAGCTTCAGAGGTCTGACGGGATTTGGCTTTCAACATCCATAGTAATAAATCGTGTCTGTAGCCGTCCTTTATGTGTTGATAATATGAGTTGCCGTGTGTATGAATTGCGCTATATAAATAACATAATAATTGTATTTTAGGGACTGGTGCTTTGTGATTTGGGTGCCAGCTCTGAATGCCACCCCCCTGACCCAGACATGGATGATAAAGGGATGAAAATGAAATGAAATGTAATGTTTATATTCTGAAATATAGAGTTAAATGACCATGCCAACCTCCACCTACAAAAAGAAATATTTATCTAAGGATATGTTTTTCAATAATTATACACTGTAATGTATTGGAGTATTTTCCCAGTTAAAGGTGGGTGTGTGCCAGGGCCAAAGGTTCAGTTTGTTTGTGGTCGTCACGGGGATGAAGGTGTTACTGCTCCACGCACAGCGATCTCAGGATGAACTGCTTTCTGTCTTTAAATAGGATACAGGTCTAGTGCACGTTTGATCATTCATCCTGTATCTTCACTCCTGTTACATAACACTCTGCACCTGCACCACACAAAGGAGGGGTGTGGCCTGGACTCCCCACATGCGAGTCCTCCGCTCTGCCTGACTGACCTGAAAACGGCTCTAACAGACTGATTATATTACTGCTCAATGCCGTGTAAGGGTATGTCTGGTGTCAGGACAGGACACAGACACATGTCGGCTGACTTGATAATTAACAGTTAAACATTCCCCTGTACTCTAATATCCTGGGGTAAGGTTAATTGAATTGAGATCACAATTTGTAAGTGTCTCAAAATATGAAATATGTCAGTGTTTTACAAGAGTGCAGGCCTAAGCAACATTTGGTACTAACCACCACATCCCAACAAGGGCAGTGTCATGCTGTTGAATTCTTGAGTAAAAGTAATAGCAAAAACGGTTCCCATAAACATAAAGTTGAATAAATTTGTCATGGTGATTATTATTTTGTATGTAGACTGGGACTCCTTTACCAAAATGGCGAGCATTAAGGAGAAAGTGCCCTCCTTGTGATTCATTTATGAACAATATTTCAAAAGCATGGTTTGTTCTAGTTTGGAACCTGATGCACTGTCTGTGACGGACAGGTATGTACATTCAATTTGACGTTTGAGTTTTATGAAAACATAAACAAATCAATATCTGAGAATCAATGTGTGCCTGACACGACTCAACACAAGTGGATTAACCTGATGCAGTTTGGAGACAGCTCTATACAATTACACAGAAACTGGGATCAAATATATGTCTGTAAATAAAGTTTCCTGACTTGCATATCAAGCTACGACAGATTTGGACAATACAGGTTTTGGTTTGGTTTTGGTTTGGTTTTGATTTGGTAACTGGTCTCACGTTGTCTCCTCATCACACAATGTTTAAAATGTTAGGTATTTAAGTCAACATTTCCCTCGAATTCATGAGCGTCACAGTCCGGAAATGTGTAGTGACAGAGGTGGTGATGCCTCAGGTGCGAGTTCCTCCCATGAGATTCCAGGGAGGGACTTTGATTCAGGTGCGTCAATCTAACAGGTAACTGCTGCAGACTATCCTAGTCCTGGGATTGGCCACTCGGTCTTAAACCAGTCAGAAAACGCTGCAGGACTGCCTCTTACCTACAAGCACTGTGACCTGACCCCCATAAAGTCATTAGGAGGCTCATAAACAGATTAGAGAGTAACATTGGGGCAGGTCCAGAAGCAATAAGATTAAAGAACTCTCAGTTTGTAATCATTCAACCAGGATAGTCCCACTGAGATTTAGGTGTAATCTGGTCCAACAGGTGAGAACCAACCACTTATGAATAGAGTTTATACTGTATATTCATGGCTTTCATACAGAATTTTGATCCAAGTAAAGAAAATATATATTTGTTTGAATTGTCTATGTTGATCACCCTGAAACTTTCTGTGTTTGAACTGATAATTTAATCTGTGTTGGAGAATCAACAGCTTTGTAAAGTCCTCAGAGATAACTACTATTGTATTTGATGAATACCTATCCATGAATTGAAACTCATGGATAGGCAGCTGTCCTGTCATTTGTAAGTCTTACTTGAGAAAGGCCATCCTGGGGGTGATCCGCTGGGCCTGCTCCTGTGCTGGTGAGGCAGTAGATGCTGGAGGTAGCGTGGACAGCCGGAGTGTTGGGGGAAGCAGGGGGGAGGTGGGGGTGTTCTGCTTCAGAAGGTCCTTATTGCTTCTTAACAGACGCAGAGATCGGACCCTGAGAGGCTGGATTAGGCTGTGGGTGCTGCGCCGATGGCTTTTCCCACAAGGTCCGGTATCAGAGCGCTTTAGCTTTTCATTAGTTCTGAAGAGAAGGCAAAATTAATTACGTTTTTAATATCCAATGTGATCTTAATGGTTGTTTTTAATGCCCTGTGTGATTATAGAGTTATAATAATTTGATGCTTATGGGTTGTGAAGCAACAAGTTATCTTGTGTAAGAAAAGCATTCTACAAATAAAGGTTGGTTGGTTGATCTAGTCCAGGGGTCTCCAACCTATAGGGAGATATCAGTAGCTAACCACCCCCTTGCAAGTAGGATTTAGAAATGGCATAAAAGCAGAATACTACAAAAAGTATGATTCATTTTCCTAAAACTATTGTAAATGCAAGCTAACATAGTAATGAATGATAAATAATTATTCTTCAAAGTACTCTTTTCAAAGACAAGCTCTTACCATCAATACTCTTAAAACCGTTTAAGCTGTAACAAAATTGGACCAAAACTCCTTTAAAGTGTACCTTTAAAGGAGTTCACTGCCATTTTAGACCTGAGAAAGTAGCTTTCCAGGTGAAAAATGTTTGAGACCCCTGATCTAGTCTATCTACGGTTTATCTGTCTATCATACATAGTCACAACAGTGATGTAAATGATGTTAACAGAGTTAAATTAAAACAATTGTCTTCATATTGTTCTGTTTGTAGAGTCTACTTTCCAGACTGGCGATTGTCAAAGATATTTGGGATGAACTCCTTGGAGTCAGAGGTGAGTCAGAACAACGCAGACAGTACATGTCAGGAGACATGCCACAGGCGGATGGGACAGTGCCAGCGTACTGTGATATTCAAAAAGTGTGACCCTGCAGTCCACATGAGGGCCCCTAGCACTGATCTTTAACCCCTTTAAACCTGAGCACATTGTTTTCTGGTTGGAAAAGTACTGTGTCAACGATAATTAAGTATTTCTGTTTCACAGTTCAACATCATTTTGAAAACAATTAATAAACAATGTCTTTATGGAGACTCTTCTTTGTCTTAAGTCAGCAGGTGATAGCTAAATATGAGTTTACGGCGGCAATAAAAATAGTAATCCAACCTCATTCATTAGACATTATGTTGAAAACGTAAATGTAATGTTACCAAGCGCAAGATTAAAATGAAAAAATTACACATACACACAATTTCTATGCAATGATTATGTCTTATTATAATTAATCGTTAGGACAAACATGTAATGATGTTTTGTCCTATGGACCCACAATCTAACAAATCAAGCAGATAAGTATTCAAATATATCTATTTAATGAATAACTAACAACATAAACCACGTCAATATGTCTGTAAACAATCTGTACTAATTGGGTTCTCTTTCAACAAGGTTTTGCACACAAAACAAGTCAAGAATTAGTGAGTCCTGCTGGGTAATAATCTTGTCAGTTGTCACTATGCGTCGACTGTGACGTTTGTGCTCAACGCCTGACAGCGGCCACTGTCCAGTTCCTTTCTTAGCACTCATTTACCAGACAATTACAATAATCCTTGCAGTGACCCCCGGAGACCTCCGGCGACCTGAAGCACTTCCCAAAGAGTCTAGAGCTGTGAGGAATGACAAGTATGCTCCGAACATGCTTGAGCACACGTGCATCCATTCATTCTCTTGGAGCTGGTCATAAGCACACAATACTAACATGAGAGTGCCAGCCTCCAGCTCCGAACAGGCTCTGACACAAGAACAAACAACAGCACAATGACAGGATTAGGGCTCCATTGAGACATTTGTGGAACCCAGCCGCTGTTATTGCTGCTGAAACATGTACAACGTTGTTCACGTGTTTCTGCTTGTAATCTACAGATAAATAGTCTTTAAATGTTTCTGGCATTCAGAACAGTAAAATGCATATTATTTAGTGTACTACCTGCAACATCTTTTGGCATCCTCAGTCCCAGATGGTGCAACATCAGGGATGTTTTCATCGGTTGCAGGCTGCAAAGTCGCACCTCGATGCTGACTACGCTTCCTTATTTTGATCTGAAAAATATGGAATTAAATTTGAATAATAAAATTAAGAAACCCAAAAGTTGACACCTGAGAAAGTGAAATACACAAGGCTGAGAAGGTTCACTATAAGATTGAATTAATAGTGAAGAAATGTTACAAAGATTTGGGTTAATGAGAAAGTTCATAAGATTCTATATTAATTATTGACTGAAGTCTATAAAAGCAAAGGCTTTTGGGTACTTACCTAATTAAATTAAGTTTATAACCAATGGATATCATTTATTCCAAATCCTCTTTATCACATGTTATAATTTTCCAAAGGTCTGCACATAAGCAATCATTAAAACAAAGACAAGAAAAACTTTGACATAGTGAATTGGAAACATTGGAAATATTCATGATGTTTTTTTTAAAATAAACATTAGTATCTGTTCCAATAAGAGCGGTTTAAGTTCATACCATAATAAAGACATGTATATGCTCTTTGTAACTGAACATTTTAACAAGGGTATGGCTTAGGTAATGTACACTTTGAAGGTAGGAAAAGACAATGCAGTAATCATGCTTTGTGGCTGACCTGAGCTTGTGTGAGCGTCTCCGAGGCCTTGCTCTTGCTCTTGATGCCTTGTCCTGCTGCGGTGCTTTTCTTCACGTCTCTCTGTCGCGCGATGGGATCCAGGAGGAAGCGCTGGGCCAGATGCAGAACACGACTCAGAACTCCTCGGCCTCCAGAGTCCAGTGCTGCTCAGATCAAAAGTTTTCTAAGAACGCTTCTGTGCCTTACACCATTCCCAACTTGCACTTTATTTTTATTGCCCAGCATTTTTTTGCTTAAGAGTACATTTTAATCCTCAATTTACATATGACATAATTCAATTAAATATATTGAAAACAGTAAATAATCGTTGTAGCTGTGTAACCATTAAAACAACTCGCCCATTTATTCATTCACTTAAAATAACAATGTAGCCAATGCAGCCCATAACTACTGAAAATGTGATGGATAAAAAATAATAATAAAACATCTCCATCTCTTATTCTGGGTGAATCAGGATCAGCTTAACTTCAAACTTACAAGTAAAATATAGTCCAAAAATCTATAAAACATGTATCCCGCATGGACCTTTTTGCTTTATTAATGGTTCCTAATCCCAGGAACACGGCACACGTGCAGAGGCTCTGATTCAGTCTGATTTGACAAGATTTTTTCAGTCGTTTTAGAGCAATAGCATGTGTGATGGGTTAATAAAGTCATTCAAACATTTTCCATTGTGTTTACGAGATGGGCCAGAGCCTGAATAACCTTGTGACGATACAGCTATCGCTCTGCTCCAGCAGCATGCATTACAACCAGAGAGGTGTGTGTCCCTGCTGCACTGGTGAATGTTATCAGAGGCCCACATATTTACTCAGACATGGAGTATTCCTGCTGTAGCAGGCTGTGAACACAAAGCCTCTTTTATACAAGGGACAGTGGGAGAACACTTCTATAGTCATATACATGTCCTGAATGTTATGTCTGACATGGAGCAAGCATCAATCACAGTCTAGCACTAGGGATGTACTGATCTGATATTCAGTATCGGTATCAGGGGCCGATATGGGTATTTTGTAAAGATCGGATAATATCGGATTTGTTAAATATCGGGGAGTTTACATTTACAGAGTTCACACACTGGTTAAGTACTGGCTTTTTGTGGTCATTCAGTTATGTACCAGCTCTTTTCGTTTTGTTATACTGAATGTTGAGGGCCGCTTTTTGACAAATGTTCCTCTTTGATATTTCTTTTATATCAAGTTTATTTGATATTTTGATATTTTTTTAGGTGAAATATTCAATACTGATGTGATTCTTACCTACAGTATGACCTAACTCAGTAGGTCTGTAGGTAAAGCCAAACAATATTTTTGATCATGTTATAATAAAAAAAAACATGTTAAAGTAATACTGGTTGCAACCTTTTTAATGCATTGAAAATATTAGAAAAAATTGGATCGGTATCGGCAAAACAATATTTAAGAGTATCGGAATCGGATCGGATAAAAATCTGGATTGGTACATCCCTATCTAGCACTCACCTGGATCTAAAAACACCCTAGTCCAGTCCAACTGTCAAGGAGAATGTGATATTTACTTTGTTCCTGTGTTTTGTATTACATGTTTTTATAATAAAGTGCGCCATAATCTATGGTTCTCAAAGTGGAGGTCACAAGATGATTTTTAAATGCCAACTTTTGTAGTACTGTATCTAGAATTACATTTGTAAACACTATTTTAAAAAGTCAATAGGTTAGATAATACAATATGACTCCATGAAGCCACAGATTTTGCATACTTGGCAAAGTTTAATTATTAAAACAGGTTGCTGGCTTATTAAATGCAAATTGTGGTTAATGTATGAGACAGGCTCACTCATGCCTGTGCTTTGTTCAGGCCTCTCCCGTCGGTTAAACCTGCTAAATTGATTTAGTGCCGTTGACATCTTTTTCTCCTATATCAATAACCACTATTCAGCTAGATGTATAAAGTGAGGAGTCTCTGCCTGCACAGGGCCCAACCTGCCCCTTTTACAGCTCTGAGAAAAACTTTGTAATTGGTGTTATGGTACTCACCCGTTTCAGTGGTGCTGCCACTTTCCATGGTCCCATCATTTCCACTTTGAGCAGATGTAGAATCACTTTTTTCACTTTGCTCTGGAAAATAAACGAAACATACTTATTTTATCGCTGGACCTGTAAAGAGACTCACAGACTGTATCTGTTCAACATCAAACTTTGTCTGGGGGTACTGAGTTACAGTTCTGTAGAGGGATCTGACTTGCAAACCATTTGGTGTGTCTGTGATTAGATAAACATTTAATGTATGCATTACCACCTTCAAATGAAAACAGTATGAACAGAAGAGTGATCTTTGATGTTGACACTTCCATTTCCAAACCCCACCCTCCACTCTGCTGTAGCCCATGGGCAGTCTGTACGAGTTCAGTTCTTTCCGATCCATCTCAATCACTGTCAGACGGGGGAGCCCAGGGTGAGCCCAGATCCCCTTCCTCTTTGGTGATAACTTTAAACAATGACCAGTCCCAACTTGTCCACCAAGAAGCATTAGGTCATCTATGTTTAAGTCATGCTTTGTTCATTTGACAGAACTGCAATCGACCACCTGCAAGTCAGTTTAGAATTTTTTTTTAAAGGAGCACAAAGTAAGAATGACATTACTGTGCCATTTACACCCACTGTGAACCATAATTTAGCAAAACTAGGGGTTGAAACAAAACACTGCTATAAAAAGTGGCTGTGTGAGCTCAGCTTCTGTGACTCAGAAGTAATGAGCGGTCTCCTGCATACGTGATTTATTGCAACATCCTACCCTACAAACACACTTTTAATGAGGTTTTGAAACGTCAAAAAGGTGCTTTTCACAAACCTACAAGAGAATGATGTCACCTTTAAAAGTTCAAACAGGATTTATGCAAACATTTCCCAGGTAAATTCAAAAGACAACCATCCATCTATCTAGATTACAGTCAAACCAAAAGAAAGAAAACCAATAATGGATACATGAGGAAGCAGCATTTCGGAATATTTCAACAAAAATTATAACAAAAACAGGTTAAATCAGTTCTGTTTAGCTGTACATACAACTGAAGGATTGCATCTTCACAAGGTATACTCTAATGTACTAGGATTATTGATGCCTTGTGTGATTTTAAGTTTTTTCTTGTTTTGTTAGGCTCTTTCAGTTGCTTTGCTTTGTGTTGCCATAGCTGGGCCTCTAAGTGGAATATTAGTGTGAATGTGGATCAGCTTGTTGTGTCGTAAAATCAAGCCATGACCAAAACCATGTTCATCTCTGCTTATAGAGAAAATTGAAAATCTGAGAAGTGTATTACCCGTTTACTTTCTCCTATAAAATGGAGAAGCCACATTTGTGTATGTGGTTTGTCCATGATACTTCAGAACATTCTGTGCTTATCATTTTAACTTTGAAAACGTTCTTCCTGTGTGCTATATAAAATAATGCCTCAAAAGGTCTACTGTATATTCTTATTGTCAAATTCAATGGCTCGTGACGGAGCCCAATAAAAAGCACACCGCAGCTGAGCCTGACTCGAGGCTGTAATGATAGGGCCAGAGTGACGGTGCATTCGCTGCCCTGTGCTTTCTCAGATGACAGAGCACTGTGCTGATTCCTCACCGAGGGGAAAGGATGCTGATGACACCCGGCCTTTTGAAGGTGCTGCTTTAGTGTGTGTCCTCCGGGTGCTGACGGTGGGGAAGGCTCAGCAAGTGCAGCTGAAAGCACACATGACGCAGCTCTATGGGCCTGCCACTCTTTACGCTCTGTGATTGGAAAAGACGTATGGGAACAGGGGGTTAAAATGTGCCACTATTCTATCAAATCACACATGGAGGTTTGCTAAAGCTGGAGATTTAGATTTCTTTCCTTATCATTTTAGACTTCTTTCCTTAAAAGTAAAAAAAAAAAAAATTCATACCGCTTCTTTTTATGCTTGAGTTAGAGATTGGTTGTTGTTGTTATTAATTTATCTTGTGCTGTGTGCTCCTCCTTTCTACTACTACTAAATTTCCCCACTGTGGGACAAACTCTTTATTGGAACTGTGTACTCTTTTTATCTGCACTATTTTTACTTAAGAGGTCATAATTAACCAGTTTATTATCAGTCTATTATATGGGGAAACAAAAGAGAAAAAAAAAGTTGCAAAGTATGAAGTAAGAGTAAGTTGAGCTGACATCACAACTGAAAGCACAACCCACTTTTGGGCTCTTTGCAAAAAAACATAAGGTCACGTACCTATGCCTGCTCAGTCAGCACACCGTCTCAGCCTTTTCTACTTAAACCAAAGAACTCTGACATTAAAAAGGTTAGCTGTCGGAGTCAAGGTGATATTTGTTACTTCAGTCAGGAACCCTCAATGTTTGAAACTGTAGAGCATTCCAGTGAGAACAAAGAAGACAATTTGGCGGCAGAAAACATTCATACATGAGCTTGTAAACAGTTAAACATAATAAAAATCCCATTGGTTATCCTCTATGGGTACCGAGTGGGTAAACATCATTATTGCGCAAACCGTTGAATCTGAAATGGAACGTTGTTTTTCTCGTCAAGGATTAGGATTAATAATTAATCACATACACATCACCTCAGAGACGAAGGAACCAAAATAATCATCACACACTCTCCTTTGTAACTACTGAAAACTGCCTCCATCATACAGTACCAGTGGTCACATGCTGTAAATCCAGTAGTAAATAACCCATGGGACATACAGTACACTGTAAGGCGGACTGAATATGGAGATTCGTTTCTGATTCAATACGGCCCTCCAAATATTATACAAGTGGCGGAAAATGCTCATACTACTCCAGAAGAATGCGCTTTAAAAACAGGGTTGTCAAACTCTGGCCTGTGGGGCAAATTCAGGCAGCGAGACCATTTTTAGTGGCCCCTGACATCATTTCCAATAATCTTTTTTGCATCAATTGCAGAATTGATGGTAAGGGGCAACTATGGCATGTCATGCTTTGTTTTAAAACATATTGTCTCAGGAAAACATCATATAATTGTATAGTAGTTATTTTTATTTTTTTTAGGTATCGGTCTTCCAATATAGATCTTTACTGATAATTGGCCCAGTTGTGGTTGAATACATATACCTTATAGAAAATAATATCCAAACTTGATCGAGAAAAAAAATTGTTAAAAATATATACATTTGGCCCCAATAAGCTGTTATTTTTTTTATTTGCCCCCCGACCAAAATGAGTTTGACACCTCTGCCACCAGTATTGTAGTAAATACGTCATTTTCTAGTGGCCTCTGAGTTTCTGGCCACAGAAGTAGACAGACTTAAAAGAACTCGCATTGCAAATGAGAAAAAAAAACATGAATGAACACGTCAAACAGAAACTGACGTGAACAATATGTTTATCTAACTTCAATAACTTTTGCTCTCCCACGGCGAGTTTCAGAGCCGCCCACAAGCCTGCTCGGACCTCATCATTAGGAGGCACGTTTGGCCCCGCTACAAGGTCAAAGTTCCCATTAGAGGCCAGGGGTCTCCTAAAGCAGGGGCCTTTCTTAAGCACCGGCACTGGCCAACTATTCCCCCCTTCACAACACAACAGTGGCATTGACATATTAATCATTTACCAGAACGGAACAGAACAAAAACAGTGAGGTAGTGTGTGGAGCTCTTGGAAAGAGGCAGTGAAAATCTGTTTTCTATATTGCAATTAGAGCTATGGGAACTCAAGCCTTTAATTTACTCTTCAGTCACTTAACCCTTTAAGCGCCAAAGTCGCAATATTGCGACAAGCAACATTGCTCACTTAAACAGGCTGTATGTAAAAATGTGGTGCAGAATCTTGTTAATACTTTTCACCAGGGGTTAGTGGACATGTGTGCCTGTAATATGAGCAGCATTTGTGGGTTTGGTTATATTGAAAGTTTTTGAGTAAATTGAGTTCGTAAAACACCTGCGCGCAGCAGCCCGGAGGTGAAGCAGCAGCGGTAGAGCTGAGCGGAGCGAGAGCAGAGCAGAGGGAGAGAGGGTTTTTTATTTTTCTCACGAGGTCTTCAGTACCAGAGAAGTACTTGGTCTGGTACTGGCTCACTCAGATTCAGAGGAGGAAGACACGCAGGTGTCCAGTGAAGCAGACACGGACATTATTGGTGACGGGGAGACAATCAGCCCCTGTACAGCGGCTGCTTGTCCTCCGTGTGGCCGCGGGAGAAGCATTCTGTGAACGCCAAGCAGGGTTCGTGGTGGAGGGGACAGGGGGATCATAACACCGGGCATGTGGAAGAAAGTAGTGGGGGTAGACATCCACGGGGAACACGGGAGACACGGGAGAGCCGCGGGAAAAAAACACTAATCGCGTTCACTGCCTTTACCAACACCGATGATGAGGATCAAGGCAGTTCTTGAGAGAAAATAATCCACAAAAGTGGATCAGAAGTGTTGAGTGTAGTGTATTTAATAAGACTCGGACAGTGATCACATTTTGTGACGAACTTTACTTAGCCAACAACCTGTCTGTAAGAAGCAACCAGACAAAGCGCATGCGTAACAAATGGACTGTACCAAATCTCCAACAATAGGGGTGAATACACCACATCATCCCCCTTTTAAAATAGGAACAATATTTTTGTATTCAAATTAGTACAGTAGTAAGCTTGTACATATTAACAATAGAAGTTACCAAATAATCATGCCAATAATCAAATAACAATTATCTGATGTACAACTGAAAACAATAATATCAGAATATGTAGTATTCAATGCTATTTTAACTGATTACTTGCTATTCAAGGTATCTATTTGGTTTTTTGCGAACACGTTCAGAGCGCCTCACAGTCACTGATGGTGGTTCTGGAGGAACTGATGGTTGCACAGGCGAATCCACAGTCGTCTCAACTGGTGTGTCATTTCCGGTATTTTGCATTTCTGCTTCAAAAGTCTCAGTGTCTATATCGGTCTGTTCAGGTGATGCTCTGGCACGTAGTTGGTCCCCATGACGTCTGTGCACCGTGACAGAGTCTCTCTCCTTGACTTGATAAGATACTGGACCAGTTTGTCTCACAACTTGTCCAGGAATCCACTTGTGAGCTCCTCCCGCTGTGTTGCGCAGATACACATACTCATCCATTTCAAAAGTGCGGTTCTCA